TTCTCTCTTTCTCTCTCTCTCCCTCTCTATCTCTCTACCTCCCTCCCTCCCTCTCTCCCTCCCTCCTTCCCTCCATGTGTGTGTGTGTGTGTGTGTGTGTGAGAGAGAGAGAGAGAGAGAGAGAGAGAGACGGAGACAGAGACAGAGAGAGATATTCCAGGATACATGCACATGTGTAGGTGACAGTTTATAAGGAGTAACTGGGATTGTCAGCAAACCCACCTCGGATGATCTTTTGTAAGGGGACTCAGACAAAATTCCCAAGGAGGTAGTTTCAGTCAAAGTGTTCCTCCTGTTGAGCTGGTTCTTAGCTCAATTAAAGAATCATTGCTTACTTCAAAGACATGCATGCCATTGTAGCATTCACTGGGTTATTATGCCATGCAGGTGGTGGATAAGATCTTCAACCCTAGACAAATGAGTGAAGGATGGATCATGGGAGGTAGCAAACAAAGTGTTTGTTCAGTGCCAAATGCTTAGTCCTGTATGTATGCATACATGCAACATTGTATGTACTCAGCATGCTATATTTAGGAATATATATGCAGGTCACCCATGTCATATCAAGTTGCAGTAAGACTAAGCATCTCTTTTTGTGTTAAGTCTGTGTAAGACAATGCTGTCTCAAAAATACACAAGAAAAGAAATGCAGTTGTTTGAGTCTGAGGTCAGTCACTCCTGACAGTTGTGCAAAAGGAACGTTGCATTATTCCTTCCTATTAAACTAAAAATTACACAAGGAGATTGTCTCTCCAAACAGAAGTTTAGCTGGTTCTAGTCATGTTATGAAGGAAGTAGTACATATGGGCATAACAGTAAAAGTTCATTCAATTTACTTGTGGTATTTTCTTTTATACTTTCTTCTTTTTTAGTTGAAGAAAAAAAGGAACCACACATTGTGGAACTAACAGATGCCTAATGGGTACCTAGTATTTGATGGTAGATGTCATTCTGTAAATATGTTCTCTTATTGGTTAATGAATAAATCCCTGGTGGCCAATAGGAAATAAAGATAGGTGGGACTAGTGGACAAGGAGGATTCAGGGAGAGGCAGGAAGAGAGATTCAAAATATAGGACCAAGAGAGCAGAGGTGTGCATCCTTTCTCCTGTAAGCCAAGACCACATGGAAATACTTAGATTAATATTTAGGACAGAGCAAGCCAATAAGAAATGCTAGTAACAAGCCAACAGATTTGTATCTAATACTGTGTCTCTGTGTGTTATTTGGGGCAGACGCAGCAGTGGGACCAGGCTGGCAGAAAAACTGGTCATAACAAGTATTTGTTCAGGAAAATCTAGCTTTGGACCAGAAGTAAGTGTGTGAGAGGACGGAGATCACAGTAATGAGCACAGTGCACTGGAGCAGAGGCAGGCTGAATGAGTTCAGGTCAGCAATAGGCATAAGGAAGTTAATCCTACCAAATATGTATTACAGAGGGAAATATAAGCATGGTGTGAAATTCCCAGGAAGGAATCAATTTATCTATAATGGGATTAGTTATTTCTTTACTGACTAAAACAAATTAGCTGAAATAAAATACTTTAAGGATATCAACCTTATTTTGTATACTGTTTTTAGAGATTTCACATCATTTTGGCCTGAAAAAGCATAATGGCGATAGATTGCTGATGACAACATGTGGTATCACCTCCTCATATGGTAGATGATAGAAAAAAGCAGTATAGAATAGAATCAAAAATGAAAACTACCTTCAAAGTTTGGTTCTTAATAAAGCTTTAAACTCTAGAATGTCCCATCTTCTTCACAATATCACCAAAAAGCCTGGGACAATGATAACTAAAGTACAAAAAAGAAAGTACAAAAAGAAAATCACGGACCAGGACAAACATTAATCAAGCATTGTGGGAATATTTGTGGATCATCTAGTCTCCTCTTAGACAGCCCCAACTTTCAACATTTCTACAGAACAAGGTACCACTTTAACTTGGCCAGTATGGTATTCTTATCTACATATTTCTTCAGATTAACACTTTCCTCACACCATGTCCACTTAATGCCTCCTTGTAGTCAGCAAGTTCATTATAGAGGAAAGGCATTGAAGGTAGCCTCTCCTCCATTGCTTAGCTATTTGGTTGTGGTCACCCTTGTGGATTCCTGGAGATTTCCCTAATGCTAGGTTTCTAGATGAGCTATAATGGCTCCCTATATTACTGTATCTCTTTTCTTGCTCTCCTCCTCTATTCTTCCCCCAACTCGACATTCCTGATCCCTCATGTTCTCCTTCCCTCTCCCCTCGTCACCTCCTTTTTCTCCTAACTCCCTCTCCCATATCCATTTTTTTATGTTGTTGATTATTTCATAACAGCCAAGCCATCATTTCACCAGTTGTCAGCATTTGCTTGGAAGGTCAGCTCTAGTCCATGCAGGGCAAGGTGCTAGGTTAAATCCTTGTGCATTTTCTACCCCAGCATCCTTCAGTGACATTGTTCCTCTGAGAATTGTTGATGATTTTTCTGTGTACTACATTATTAGTTCATGGTTTTCACAGCAATAGGCTCTTACCCACTAGTTATAATAGGCATGCAAGAGCAATGACAAGAACCTGTGCTGTTGATTGCCTCACAGTCTTCTCAGGACAGTAATCCACAGGGTAAAAGCAATGCCAGCAAATGAGATTTCATTTAATAAATTATATTTTAAAATTTCACTTACTAAGTCATGTCTGCTGGTAGAATTGTTCACCCATGCAGGGTAACTCCCTTCGAGGTCCTATTTGTTCCTCTCCAGTAAGTACTGCCAAACAGTGTTGACAAACAGTGTTTTCTCATAAAATATCAACTTGTGGAAATTGGCTCCAGTTGGAAAAGCAAACAGAAAAACAGATACACTGGACAGCTTACATTTTATAATAAATACTACTGTGGATTTGTAGCATCTCTTTCATTTTATGGTGTTTTTTGACAATATAAAAGTAGGTGTCATTGAATTTGATATTTTGTATATAACAATGGCACCCACTAAGATGAGGAAAAGAAAAAATGAGATTTGTGTTCCAAACACCCCAGGCAATAATAAAAGAGAATTCACACACATAGCTCAATTATAGGCATCAGATGAACCATATTGTGTCCTCATTTTTAAAGGAGGACACCTGACCTCTAGGAAACAGAAGAGATAACAAACAAGCTCTTGGAACTCCGCAGTATTCCCTTGAAAGCTGACAGCAGAAACTTGTAATGCTTCTGTGCTAGGTCACCAGGGAAAACAAATTCAGGAAAAGTTCTTACCTGTTTAAGCCTGCAATGTCCATTGCTACAAGTGAAATAATAATTGCAGGTGTGAGGGGAGGTGAGGCCAAAACCTCAGACACATATATTAGACACTGGCTGCCACCCTCCAGCTGATTTTATGTCCCAGAGAAAGGGGGGATGCTGAGAGTATAACAGACTGCAACCTGAGAGCAGAGAAGCAAAGATAAAATGTGAGATCTTGGTAAGTGATCACAGAAGGCATTAGGACATGAGACTGAATCTGAAAGGGAGACAAAGCCACAGCGGATAAAGAGAAAATCTTCAGGATTGGCTCAGAGAGAAATGAAAGGTGGGGTCCTACGTGCACTGCATCCCATCTCTAACAACCCATTCCTTTCTGTCTGTGCCTGATATGGTCTGTGACACTGAAAAAGAAGCCTGATACCTATGGGATCACCTAATGTCTCTGTGAAAGAAAGTGGAATCTCCTTTGTGAAGATATTTCTCTAAGGCACCTGATAAAGAAAGTTCTTTGAGGTCAGTGGCAATTGATAGCTTTGTGAGAAATATGAAAAATATGACTTTCATTCATCCTTGAGTTCTTATTCACAGTGGTTACTCTAAACAGGGATGGGCTTGGTAACAAGCTCTGCATGGATGATTCATTCACAGGGTATTTGTGTGGAAGATCTGAACATTGTACACGTGGGTGTGTATAGATTTTCCTATGAGATATTTGTAAGGAAATTCCATAAAGCAAAAGAGATTAAAAGTGAGTTCTCATAACAATAAATAGACAGTATTAGTAAATTTTGTTTCATCTAATAAGGAGAATACATTTTTAGGATTCCTAGAGATTTATCTTCTTTTACTCATACTTGTAATAAGGAGAGAAATATATTCCACAGGACAATGTAATCCTACCTGGAATCACATGTAAACGAAGGTCACATTTGCACAAAACTTTTTCCCTGCCTCAGAGTGAGATGTGCAGTCATTGGAAACAGTATTCATAACATTTTGAAAGTCTCCAAATTAAAAAATCATCAGTATTTTTTTTCCTGTGTATGTAGCAAGAGGGATTTAAATGAAGGCATTTAAAAATATTATTTCGTTCTGCCCTCAACTGCTGGGATTAATTATTTTCACATATTTGAAAACATTCTCATCAAATATAGGATTAATTATGCTTGCATAAGTCAGTGAAAATGGAAAGATTGACCACATAGATGGATTGTGTGGAATATCGTATAATCACTCCTTAATTTCTCTCTGAACCTTAAATATTCTCAACATTAATATTTATAAATATATTAACTATACTTTCACTTATGTGAATGTTTGAAGTTGTCACTTTTCACATTGCATGTCATAATTATAGGCCTCATTTATAAAACTTAACTCGTGTTATTAGCCCCCAAATCAATTCACTTGGGTGTTATTAAATTAATAATTTTGTTGTCATCTTACATTTTACGTAGATTTACATTTATTTTCTAAAGATAAATTTATGTGATTTGATTAATGGCCAACTGTTTTGATAGGTCATGGCTGTGTTTCAGACATGAGACAGGCCACTGGAGATGTTTTGTGCCTGTCTTGTTAAAGGAGATATTGTTGATGTTTTGGTCATTCTACAGAGTGTGAATATTGGAGCAGTGTGTGTTCCCATTCAATTGCCTTCACATGTGCAATTCATGTCGAATTGAATATAGCCTGTGAACTCATTTGGGATAGGAAATATCGATATCATGCATCCTATGGCACAAAGCATGTGGCTCCTGCCTCGTCTTTTATGCAGGATCCTCATTTGAGAGCAGAAACTGAGAACATGGCATCCAGTGAGTTGTCTATAGGAGTGATCTTCTTGTCTCTGACTATGATTGGACTACTGGGGAATTTCTTGCTTCTCCACCACTATCTGTTTGTTTACCTAAGTAGGTACAGACTAAAGTCTACAGACTGGGTTCTGATGCACTTGATTGTAGCCAGCATCTTAACCATCCTGTGTAAAGGAGTGCCACACACAATGGCTGCTTTTGGACTGAAGGACTTCCTCGATGATATTGGATGCAAATTGTTTTTCTCTTTTCACAGATTAGGCCGGGGTTTGTGTATTGGCTGCACCTCCTTCCTTAGTGTCTTCCAGGCCATCATCATCAGCCCCAGGGACTCCTGGTATTCAGAGCTGAAAATAAAAACACACAAGTATAGCTGTTATGTTCTCTACATGAACTGGGCCATTTATTTCCTTATAAGCAGTATGAATCTTGTGCATATGAGGGCAATATATGGAAATGAAAGCACAGCAAACCTGAAGTCATTTTTATACTGCTATGCTGTCCGTCATGACCAAACCAGTGACATCTTTTACGCAGCATTGCTGACAGCTCCTGACATTCTTCTTCTGGGACTCATGCTATGGGCCAGTGGCTACATGGTTCTCACCCTCTACAGGCACAAGCAAAGGATGCAACACATGCCCAAGAACAATTTCTCTTCCAGATCCTCCCCTGAATCCAAAGCTACTAAAACCATCCTTCTCCTGGTCAGTACCTTTGTCTCCTTTTACACAATCTCTTCGCTTTGTCAGCTCTTTGTGACTATTATATATAATCCCAGCTGTTCTCTGGTGCGTGTGACTGCAATGGCTTCTCTGTTTTTCCCCACTGTTTGTCCTTTTGTCCTCATGAGCCGTGACTCTCGGGTATCCAGCTTTTTCCTGTGTTTGAAAATGAGTAAACATTTCCATAAAGAATGTAATCAATAACTGAGTTGATAGTTTCTGTCCATTTCTTACTTGGTTTTTGAGTCACCCTGAAAGTATAGTGAGCATAATCACATTCATGCCACACGACTTTTGAGGCTGTTACAGAAGAGCCTCCCTACTGTGATTGTGGATGAGTGTGTTCATGTACAATACACTTGTAATTGTGTGCCATTTTATGCACAAGCATTTGAATGGATTTACTTAAATTCTGTTTATTGTACATCAAGGCATATATTTAGTTGATGGTGTGGCATAAATAAATTACAAAAGATAATTAAAATCAGGCAAACGTTAGGTTTCAGATAAATTGTAAAACAGCACCATATTCCCTTTGTGTTGAACTTTCTGGATTTGGCGTGGTTGACCCTGAAATTAAAAGAAAATTCTACTGTTTAATTAAACCCTATGCTTACATCTTACTTGTTTTGCTATTCTATACTGCTCACCATAGTTTTAAAATGGAAGGTAAAAATTCACCCTGAATTCACTGTTCCCCTTGTGAGTATGACATTTTATCTTGTTTCCCTTATCATATCCACGGTGTAAATGAAGCCATGTACTTTTAACAGTTTTTAGTGTACAAGTGGCCAATGCTCGAATAAATTTTCCACTTTGGATAAAGTTCTGCATTCATTACCCAAATGGAAATTAATGCAATTAGGCTCAAGCCTGCCTCTTGAGACCCTTTCTGAATCAGTCTTAAATAGAAGAAACTGGAAAATCACTGCACAGATACTCTGAACCCGTTTTCTTTTACTTAATGGGTGCATTTCCGTGTGAATGACATATACATTTGACATTTACAATTTCTTGTGCTGAATATTATTTGCTTATATGTTTCTGCACATTGGTGATAGAAATCACCTCGTTAAATATTAAAGAAACAACATGGAATCTTCTCTCCTCAGTCCTGGGGAAATGGGTCCATAATTAAGAATGTGCACTACTCTCACAGAGCCTAGAGGTAAAGCCTCCACCCACTAGATCACTGCTGCCTGTTATTCCATATCCAGAGATGTGATGCTCTATTCTGGAATCTCGCGGCACTGCACATGCGTACAAAATTTAGTAACAATAAAAATAAATCTTAATATCATTTCGCTTTTTTGTTCTGCATGCACTGAACTTTGGACACATTTTTGGTGTATGAATAGACACCATGTGTTGGTTTCTGTTTCCCCTCTACGATGATGTTATGCTGCGGCAAACATAACATGTTCCAGCTCTGTCTCACTACCTTTCTTTCCACAAGAGTTCTTCTGAACCATTTTCACAATGGTAATGATTGCAGCCCATTGTACCTATGCAGATTCACCAACATATTGGTCCACATTCAGACCTTTGATATAAATAATTTTTCTTTGCTCGTGAGTTTTCCAGGTTTGTGCATTTTGTTTTGCAGAGAAAGAAAGGTTAAATCAAAATGCACATTTTTTCAAGTATTAGGTAAGGGACCTGGCTTTTTTCTTTTTGTTGTTGTTGTTGTTGTTGTTGTTGTTTTTCCAACATGTTCTGGGGGTTGCTAAATAATCATTCCCTATGTAAAAATGAATATTCATACTTGATCATTCAACTCCCGAATTATGACAACAGTTTCCACAGATTGTTCCCCCAACCCCTACTCAGTAAATGCTATTATTTTTTGTTTTTAACAAAATCTATCATTCCTAAATTTTTATTGGTTGCAAATACATTTGAACTATAATATCTCTGCCTGAGAATACTTCGGATAAACATTTGACCACATATGCCAAGACCCCCATTAATGAGTTAAATGGATGGTAGCCATAAGGTATCTTCAGTCTCCAATAATGTTTTAGTAGCCTTGATTGTCCTGGAGGGTAACATTCCCAGAGGAATTCAGATCCTACGATACTTAGCACTCAGTGCTTTTTCCTATTTTTAACACTTTTCCATTTTATACAAGAAGTGGATGTCAGATCTGGTAGTCCTTCAGGGGATGAGAAAGATATCCCTACAGGGAAAGAGGCTGGTAGTTTATGTGTGCAAATGATTGCCTTCATGCAAGTCCTCTTTTCAGCATGTTCCTGTATAAACTGTTCATATATTGTAATGGAACTATTACATGCTATACTCTGTTATCAGATTGTCTCTATAATATCTCTCAAGTCTGTGTGGACATTCATTGCTCCAGGATTATTTTGTATTTTTAAGTCATAGAAAAGTTCTCAATTAATATTAGAAAGCAGGTTAGTAAATAGATTCGATGGGTGCCAATTATCCTGCAGCATATAGAAATGTTCAAGCCTGTAATCCCAGCATTAATCACAAGGTGGCAATCACAGGCTGTCATTTATCTAGGTGAAAGAGATACACTAAACTCAATTGATGGGAGATGTCATTCTGTATGTTTCTCATACTGGTTAATAAATAAAGCACTGTTGGCCAATAGGAAAGGAAGATAGGAGGGACTAGGAGACAAGAAGGAAAGAGGAAGTAGTAAGGAGGAGTCAAGATGGAGAGTCTGGAGAGAGCTGGACGCCAGCTGCCTCCCCGGTAAGAGAAGGCCATGTGAAAATACATAGATTAACACAAATGGGTTAATACTTAAGACAGAGCTAGCCGATAAGAAAGTAGTAACTGGCCAATAGTATAATATCAAATACAGAGTCTCTGTGCATTAATTGGGGCTGGCGCGGCGGCGGGACAAGACTGGAGGTGGGCAGAAAACCCATACTCCATACAAATGGCGCCCACGTGGTTAATAAGAACTTCCACTTAAAATTTAACAAAAGCTTAAAAAAGGGTTTTAGAAACAAAAGAACAGAGATAAGCAAGGTTTCTTGGTAGCAGCATTTTTCTCAGTTGAACTCTGCTTTGCTATAGACAAGCAGATATTCGCGCGGCTCCTTTAAGGGAAGATTCCTGACTCAGCATAAGCAGCAAAAAACCGCACAGCTTTTAAATGACTCTGCTAACAATTTATTGGTGTGTATGAGAGATGGCAATGAATGGTTTCACTTCTAATAAATCACACTAAAAATTGTATAAATGTGACAAAGCATTAAGTTCCCTTTCAGATATTATTATTATTAATACTGGAGAGAAAAATCTGTAAATGTAAAAGTTGAAGAAAAAAAAATCCTTCAGAGCAAACCCAGCCTCTAGTTCTTGTGTTGTGACCAAAACACCAAGACAACCTTCCTCTTACTACTGGAAATGGCATTTAACAACAAACCACCTCCAAGAGACAGAGAAACCATAGAATGTGCCCTCCTAGTACTAAGGAATGAGAACTGGCTACGTGCAAGTAAGAGACAAAGCCATAGAAACCACCAAATGTTCCAACCAATCAAAAATGCTAACAAACCAGTTGCCCTGACTCTGAGAAATTCACCTAATTGTTCCCCAAATGTCAACAATCAGGATCTGACCCACACCTACTGATGTAATCCTGTTATTTTATTTTATTTTACTTTTTTTCCTTTAAAGTCTGGCAATAGACCAGGACTTCAATCCCTGTGGAGGCTGCTGTGTCAGCTTGCTAGACAGAGTCCCTACTGGTAGGATTAAATAATTAAGCCTTAGGTTTGCAATTCATTGACTCTGTCTCCTTGGTGGTCTCTGGAGGTCTTCCAGTCTTGGGCACAACACTAGGGTTAGAAAAGATGGCCCAATACCAGTTCCCTTGGTGGTCTCTGGAGGTCTTTTAGTCTTGGGCACAACACTAAGGTTAGAAAAGATGGCCCAATACCAGTTCCCAGTGAATCCTCTCCCCCACACACCCTTCCCTGGGAACTCCCTGGATTAGCCCTGAATCTTGCTCCCTCCTGTGCCCTATCCCCAGCAAGAGCCCTCCTGGGGCTCTGATACACACCCACCCTCTCTCTCCATACCTCTTCAATATTCTACTTGAAGTTCTAGCTAAAACAATACTACAACAAAAGGATCTCAAGGGGATACAAATTGGAAAGGAAGAAATCAAACTCTTTCTATTTGCATATGGTATCATAGTTTACCTAAGCGACCCAAAAACTCTACCAGGGAACACCTTCAACAAACTAGCAGGATACAAGATAAACTAAAAAAAAAAAATCAGTAGCCCTACTTTTTTCAGATGACAAAGGGGCTGAGAAAGAAATCAGAGAAACATCACTTTTTACAATAGCCAAAAACAACATAAAGTATCTTGGGGTAATGCTTACCAAACAAGTTAAAGACCTATATAATAAGAACTTTGTGTCTTTAAAGAAGGAAATTAAAGAACATACCAGAAAATGTAAAGATCTCCCATGCTCTTGGATAGGTAGGATAAACATAGTAAAAATGGCAATCTTACCAAAATCAATCTACCGATTCAATGCAATCCCTATTAAAATCCCACCACAATTCTTCACCGACCTTGAAAGGATAATAATCAACTTTATATGGAAAAACAAAAGACCCAGGATAGCCAAAACAACCCTGTACAATAAGGGAACTTTAGGATGCATCACCATCCCCAACTTTAAGCTCAACCACAGAGTTATAGTTCTGAAAACAGCCTGGTATTGGCATAAAAATAGACAAGTATACCACTGGAATTGAATCAAAAATCCTGATATTAACCCACACACCTATGAACACCTGATTTTCGACAAAACAGCTAACATTATACAATGGGGCAAGGACAGTATCTTCAACAAATGGTGCTGGCACAATTGGATGAGGGTGTGTAGAAGACTGCAGATAGACCCATGTCTGTCGCCATGCACAAAACTCAAGTCCAAATGGATCAAAGACCTCAACATCAATCCAGCCACATTGAACCTCTTAGAAGAGAAAGTAGGAGGTACCCTTGAACAAATTGGTACAGGAGACTGCTTCCTGAACATAACTCTAGTAGCACAGACACTAAGATTGACAATTAATAAATGGAACCTCCTCAAACTTAGAAGCTTCTGTAAGGCAAAGGACACAGTGGACAAGACCAAACGGCAGCCTACAGACTGGGAAAAGATCTTCATCTGTCTTACATCTGACAAAGGGCTGATCTCCAAAATATACAACGAAC